AAAAAAAAAAAAAAAAAAAGAAGAAGAAGAAGAAGAAGAAGAAGAAGAAGAAGAAGAAGAAGAAGAAATACACATTTCTTATCAATACATTGACACTTATGAAGAACTCAAGAGGAACCTTAGCTGTTTCTTAGTATATAAGAATACAATAAATATCTACAGCTTTATACATAAAAAGGGGCAAAACTAAAAAGATTATTCATATAATAGATAGACATTTAATACTTTCTTCCCTCTTACTGCTCAATGGCCATCACTAGTAATGAGCGTTTAATGAGTATTCTTGCTCTAACTTCCCCTTTGGGTTTTCAGTCATTATGAAATTTATGGGGAACTACACACTGGCTTTAGAATGGTTAGTCCTGCTCATAAAATAAGGGAGCAACATTACCATATTTTCTGAAAACTGACATGAAAAACATACAATAACAAATAATTAAATATGACTATTGTATCATTTGCGTAATTTTTAATTAGTCAACTTACAAGTAAAACAATTATGTAAAAGTAATAAATATGAATTGAGCTTGCACTTACAAGTGCCACTTAGCAATAATCTTTATTCACAAACTACCATTATATAGGGTAAACAAGTTAAGTGCTTTTAAATAAATTTCCCCCCCCCAGTATCTCAATTACTGAAAAGGGTAAATGAAAATAAGTCAACCAGAATTGAATTCTGGTTGTTGTATAGTGGTACGGTATATTTTATTCTGGTTGTAAATTCTCCCAGCTTTCAGTCATAAACTTACTATAATAGTTAAAAATCAGATGCTTCAAAACTTTTGAGAACAGTTGTCTCCTTTCAACAGGTTTTTAAGAACTTACACATTACACAATGTTGTTAAATGACTCCTGATGTTTTAAAAGAATCCAATATCTTATAATATTTATGATAGAAACATAATGACCTAATAATAAGTACCAAAAAAATGAAAGTTTTTTGTCTGGCGTTACTTAATAAGTTGAAATGTGTGTGTGTGTGTGTGTATATATATATTTATATATATTTATTCTCTAACTGATTAATGCATTAACCTGTTAGTTCTGAACATTTCAATTATCGCATTGATTCACTTAATTTAAATTGTGCTTTAGAGCACACATTGTTCACTGGCTTGAGTTTATCAAAAACTGAAGTCTGACTTCAAAATATTAAGATGCAAATAGGCAAAATCACACAAGGGAAAGTAGAATTCACAAACAGACACTACTGAGCCTCAAGTCGCATTCGTTGCTCCATGTGAGTTCGCTGATGTCTACGGAAATTGCTGCTTTGGTTAAACATACGCCCACATTCCTGACACTGATATGGCTTTTCACCAGTGTGAGTGCGGCGGTGGTTTGCAAGAATGGATGGCTTTCGGAAAGCCTTATGACACTCTGGGCAGAAATGCAGTTTTCCTTCCAAATTAGGCTTTGGAGGTTGTAACCATTCCTTTGTTCCTGAGAAAATGGCACCGTGAGGAGGAGCTAATACTTTGCTGCCTATAATAAATGCTTGGCGCTTCTCAGGAGAAGAAATCATCACTTTTTGTTTCTGAGCAGAAACGGCAGAATATAGTCCTGTTGGCTTAGATATTACGATGGTGCCTGCAAAAACAATGCAAACATGGTCAATATTTGCAATACTGCTCCAATAGTTCTTTATAAAACAAAACAAAAAACCCACACTAGGAGCAATATAATAAATGTAGAAAGAACTGTCAATAAAGGAACATATTTGTGAAAATCAAATTTTATATGTATTAAATAAATATAAATTTTACAAATTGATAGCAATTAGTACAATCTATATTATATTGCATAAAGTCTCACAAATTTATCTTTTGCCTATGTATCAAATATCAAATGAAACCTACTGTTTTCTCGAGAGAAATATTGTGAATGCCCTTGGCTGTCTGGGTGCGGCAGAGTCGAAGGCTGTGATGCCCACTTTTCAACCACCTTGTCATGGTCTTCCTCAAGGCTGGTCTGCCAACCCAGAGAAAGACCACAAAATGGTCAAAATGTCGGCATCATAGCCTTTTATGCTGTGTCACCCGACAGCCAAGAGCACTCTAGCTGAGGAAGCCTATGATTTCATGAGAGAAATATTGTTTCGCGTAGCATAATTAATTAATCAGTATGAGGAGAAAGGGAACAAGTCAAAAATGCAATTTTTTTTTGTTATGATAGAAAGTTGTTCTTTAAGGCAAGGCAAATTGAATTGTGAAGAAAGTAATCAAGTCATAACAGTGGTTAGATTATCATAGTGAATTCACCACAAAAATTAGATAGGATAATATAACATGTGTGAGTATTACTTAACATTTATTCCTCCAGAAAAGTGGCAAGAAACAAATTGCTCCCTTTCTCCTCAGGCTGATTCACGTACACTTGATATGTTGAATATATGTTAATAAATTTTGTTATTTTCAGTATCTTATGCTTTAAGACAATCAGTAGAATTAATTAATGTAATCAGTCAACTGTATTTTGATTTTAATTATTGAAATAACATATTTTATACTGCAAAAAATTAGTTTGTGAAATGATGTACGTGCAATATAAAACATCAATTTTCAATAATTAAAATCGGAATACAATTAACTGGTTATGCTAATTCCACTGATTTTCTTAAAACATAAGTTACTGAAAATAACGGTTAAAGTAAGGTATATGGTACACCCTTAGAGAAGCGTGGCAACTGGGGAAAGGAGTATCCTTAAACCCTCCCTCAAATTACGCTGCGCATTTTGATAGAAACGAATGAAACTTATGGATAGGCGATTTTCATGGTTCGCCCTTCATATGCTTTGCCCACGCCAAATTTTAATGCCAATTTACTTTCAATGGCAAGTTTTCTTGCTTCGCTCACCCAATCGAAGTCACGGCAAGGCTCAGGCCTTCAGCCCTCGCGTTAACTACAAACATCCTTGAGTCTATCCACTGCATAATTACCAATTCACTTCTATAAAACAGCATTTTTTCAAGAAAGCCTCCTGAATACAAACTGCATAGTTGCCGCCGGAGATGCGCAAAAAGACTTCCAAAAGTTGTACCACACACTGGCCAAAATAATATAATATTGTATATTCAAGTTAAAATCATGTAAAGCAGAATGATCTGTTGAATGAGGTCACAAAGAAGGAATAGTCAAATCTACCTTGACTGAACTGAGTGTTGCAGTCATTTTCTCTGAAGAAATTGACAATGCTCACTGTCACTTATGGAAGCAAATGATACATCCTAAATGATAATTCTAGGAGGACAAATACTGTGAAAATGTCAGCGATCAAGGAATATCTACCACACGTCTACTACTTTGTAAGGCAATAAAGCATAAAATATTAAGGTAAGGTAAGGTAAGGCAATATGCATAAAACTTTCTGGAATATTTCACACAACATCAAAACTTGAAATTTCTGGATAGACTTTACTTCTGCAGGACCATTGTTTGGTGGGAATGTGCAGCAGCACACAATTTTGAACCATTTTTTGATTGAATTTTTTTCGTTCGCGAATTCAAAAATACAGATCAAAGCATCAATTGAGCTCTTAAAACAATTTAGGTAAAATTATACTTTGAAATTTTACAATTTTTAGAATCAAGGTTGATTGGGGGTCTTTTACTTACTTTTATGCTAAAAGAAATTTACAGTACAAAAACACATTGTGACGAAGTGGAGCACCAATAGGGGAATGACACTACTTTCAACAATTTGTTGAAACACATTCCTGGATTCAAATTTCTATAAATTCAGTTTCATCTGCTTATTGCATTTATGTAAAGCAACACTAAATGTAAATTCTTGACAACAAATCCTACCTGATTTCTGATAAATTTTATTAACTTGAGAACTTGCCATTGCTGCTCTTAGAGCAGATTTCTCAACTACACCATTCTGAACTTTCTTGAAATCAATTTCAGTTCTCTTTGTTGTGGGTTCTTTTTTCACTTTCAGTTTCAAAAATACTTTATTTGAATCATTCCAACTCACAAATGGCTTAACACCAACAACTGGCTTCTCTTCAGAAAAGACAGATTGCTGCTCTTCATCACAATCAATTTTCTCACCATTGCTGTCAAAATCATCCAACTCTTCACTATCACAAACAGACACATCAGAATTTTCTGCAGCAGAAGACACAAGAACAAATGGGGCAGAGCTGGCATTGTCTCCATTGTCTGCACAATATTGATGATCCAAAGGTGGGCTCGTATTTGTATTATTGACATTATCTTCATGTGTCGAAGTTGTCATGAGGTTATTTTCTTCAGCACTTTCAGCCACAGGCAAAAGTTCACATGCTTCTTCAAGAGCATTTAAAACATCACCTTCAATTGTTTTAGATGAAGATTGTGTTGCATCATCTTCCTCAACTGGTTGATTCAGGCCTGGAGAATCTTTTTTGAGAACATACTGAAATTTGAAGGAAGAAAAATGAACATTCTATGTTTCCAATTTTCACCAGAATATATTACGAAGATAAATCAGAATTAAATTACTTACATCAACCTTATTTTCACTATGCAAGCCCTTTATATGCAATGACTGTGCCGTAACTAAAAATTCTTCAAGCTGTTCTTCTGAGATTTGAACTTTCCCTGAGTAAATGAAATCCAATATTGCCATAAGCAACTGAAATTTGACATCCTTGAGAAAAACGATAGGGTGCTTATCATTCACTTCTTCAAACAAGCTCTAAGGATAAAAATAATAAAAAATAAAATTAATAAAAAAGTGCAACTTCAATAAGAAAATATAAATGAAACTTATGAAAATGTACCAGAAACATTTTGCTTTCAAAGCAAATCTCTAATTTCACCTTATTTAATACATACGTCTACTATGACAATATATAACCGACCGTACTGACACAGGACTAACAAAAATCTAACCTGAAAATAAGAACTGGTAGCTGACAATATCATCCTATGAACTTTTACATGTTGACCTTCAGCAGCCAGGGTGCAGTCAACTAATGAATTGTTTTGTAAGAGATTTCGAAAGCTATCAATTAGACAGCTTTCATGATCACTCCAACAGAGTGAGAAACTAGTAGAACCCATTATTTAAAACTGGAACAAAGAAACAGAAACTGAATACATATTTGGTTCTCAATATGTTTGATCTCACAAGAATTTAATCTAAAATCAGAGATATCACTTCACAAATTCAAAGAAATTAGACAATATATAATTCTTAAAAAATGACACGTTGTAATTATAAAAAGAACATAAATATCCAATACTAATGACGTTTTTAAATGTCAAAATAGAATTTTTGGAGAATACCTGATTCACTACGTACAAAAATAGTTTTCTCTCAGTATTTTCCTTTAACCCTCAATATTTACCTCACGAAATAATTTAAACTAATAACTCAAAAGAACTATACTAAAAGTTAAAGGACATCCAAAACTCTGTCTACTGTCACATAACGCAACAGTGTTCAACTTCAAACATGACAGCGGCTTTTGCAAATCCAAAACCTAACACAACCCCAAAATTTAATCAACCAACCTCTTTGCTCTTTACTGATTTGTACACTCCAACTCAATAGTAGTGACTTCTGACGTGTAATCAACTAAAAGCGATATCCTATCGGAAGCTCTATTACTATATTGCTTCTGATTGGATAGCTGTGTCCCCGCTGATTACACGCCAGAAGTAACTATAATTAAAAATTCAAGCAAGATCATACTATGTCGAATTCGCAGAAGCAGCGAGGTACGATTATTAATATCCAATTCAATATCAAGACGTGTTTAAATATTTCGTGAGTATTCCCCAATGGCAGCTGGTGGGGGTGGGCTGCAGCCATCTCAGTCCGTGTCAAAATTATTTAATTTCTGTCTGATCTTACAAATAAATATGCGAAATAGTATTTCTTTCAATTTTATGACCGATGTAGCCCACTGCTGGTGCGTGTGCAACGTGCGAAAAGCTTCCGCCGTGTTCTGCTACGATTCCATTTCCCTCTCTGGAACTGCCAGTCCATACCATTAAATACTCTCTGGACCCAACTACGTACAGAGAAGTATCAGCATAGTTGATTTCGCTTCCCCCGCTGTTTATGTTTCTCAATATTGTGATTCTAGGGATTCTAGGGAATGCAGGAAACCTTCCTCAGTTTACAAAATTTTTTATGCCGTGGCGGATGTATGATATAGTTGAGGTACTGTATATTGTATTTTTCTGATTGTTGCTTTCTCGCTACGGAGTAAAGAGAAAGTTATGTAATGCTATTTTGGCAGAAAAAAACGGTTGAAATGTAGTATACGGTACAATATAGAGAAGTCGTTTAAATCGGCACTTCGCGCCGATCCGGCGTTAACTAGGTAGTTAGAATTCTGGAGGCTTTCTTGAAAAGTGATGTCTTATAAAAGTGAATTGGTAATATTGCGTTGGATAGACTCAAGGATGCTTATAGTGAACGCGAGGGCCGGAGGTCCGAGCCTCGCCGTGACTTGGATCCGGGCGAACGAAGCGAGAAAACTTACCTTTAAAAGTAAATTCGCGTTACAATGCGGCGGGGACAAAGCATATGAAGGGCGAACCATGAAATTCGCCTACCCGTAAGTTTTATTAATTTCTATTAGAGCACGTACAGTAAGTACAGCGCTTAAGCCCCGCCGCCATGCTTCTCGAAGGATGTACCGTATACTAAATTATAATTATTACAGGCCCTGGTTACGAAAACGTGGATAATTCCAGTTCCTAAATTTATAAATAAAAATCCTCTAACACGTGGTGAATACAGAATCCACAATTGGTGGGTCCTTGATACCGAAAAATCGAATGAAGGCAAACGTATTTGTCCGTCTGTCTGTGAACAACGCTAATGGCTAAATCGTTCAGCCGATTTTCTTCAATATCGTTATTTCACAATCGATCTGGCTGATGTCGCGGCACCTTGAATTTGAAAAGAATATTTTAATTTTTGGGGAAACTTTACATAAAGCACTTGAACATTTTCCTTTTTTAAAATAATGGTTCCATCGATTTTTATTAAATTTTGTTGTTGAATAGTGTGAATGACATTTAAGAGAATGGTGTTGGTCTCATTTTCGTCGATAACTAAGATATTTTGAAAATTGAAAAAGTTCAACTTTTTTTTCGAGTCTTCCTAGAACTAAAATACTGACGATAGTTTTTTTCCTTAATGAAATCTCTTCCCTAAAGACAGATTTTAAAATAAGATCATGTACAATATTTGAAAATTTGAGTACATTTCGTGTAAGTACGGGGGAGAAAGTACGTGCTGTTTTAGCATCACTAGTGTTTAGAATGAATACGAATAGTAATTCTGTTAATGATTAAAAAACTGTGAAATTTAGATACTTAACTCTTCAAGAAACTGCGATATCAAAGCTCGCAGTACACCTACATCGGAATTGAATGTACAGTATCTTAATGCATTTTCTATTTTTTCATGCTGTCCCCATGAATTAAAAGTTATCCCTAACGACTTTAAGTCAGCATTGTATTATATATCAGGGGGCTGTCCATAAACTACGAAACGCAAATTCGGAGTATTTTGAATACCCTATTTCCCCGCTGTAATACACCCGTAACGCGCGCTTGAACCTCCCTAAATAATTGCGCTACGCTTGCGACAAAATCCCTTCTTGTAAATGCAAGAAGTTAAAATAAATTATAGCTCAGTAAAAAATTGTATTAATTTTAATTGTGTTGTATATTAAAATTTATGATAATTAGGGGGAGGATTTTGATGACCAAAAACATAGTAAAAAATGATCAATAAAACTCTCTTCAAATACTTTAAAGATGCCTAAAACAAAGAAAAATGACGTAAAAATCTATCAAAACCTCTTCAAATGAACAACTAAAGCCGTTGGGCATGTTACTGATGTAATCGAGGCTTCTTCCTTTTGTTCACGTGTATACTGCGCAACTTTGCCCCTGGTCTGGCAGGTATCAGCTGTTGACAGTTTCATCCATTCGTGAGCTTGAAAATCACCATATTGCCGTCAATATGGGCTCTTATGGTGACCTGGCAGATATCACCCGAAATTTTAAAATTGTTGGAAAATTAACTGTTGAACACGTTTTTAAAAACCTTTTTTTGGTAGCTAACACCTCAAAGAATCAATATGCGCAATTTGAAGGAAACCTACAGTTTAAAATGGGAGAATTTTGCAAAATTATAAGTCTAAATCAGTCCAAAGGGAGACGTTCGCGCGCTTTCTAGAGGTTCGGGACTGTGACGCGCATCTCGGCAACACCGCGTGCGCAACGCGCTTCATTCAAATCGAGTGGCAAGACCTGCAATAATTCGTACATTGCTTTGGATCTTCTGAGAGAAATTAAAATATCCTTCTTCCTGGAGAACATTGCGTTTGATAGTAATCACGTATTTAGAAAAGATGGAATTAGATGGATACAATTATTAGTGCGATCTGAATGAAAATTTTAATTCAATTAATATTCCCAATGACTCACTTTGATAATACTTCCTGTGAGAAAATGGGCGATCTTAAGAGTTTATAGAATTGTTCAAACATTCAGTACAGTAACATTATTTTATATTTTGCCGTATACCAGTTTTTGCTCCTGAACAATGATCATTTAATTATTCGAAAATTATTCATCTTCTATGAAAATATGATATATAATTATTCAGATAGCTCTTCAAGACGTTTGCTTCTTTTAACTAATTGTAGTAATATGGGATCATATCTATTTGCAAACATATTACATTCTAGGTTGGAATTCATCGAAGGATTGATCTTGATATACAAAGTTTCGAGAACCAGTCCGGAACTAAAGTTTGGTTTCACTGCTAGAATTGCCGGGGTTTGAAAATCAATAGTATAGTCCTGATTTATTCTATGAGCGGTTAGGAAGTTTTGCATCTCAAAAGGAAATCTAGTTACTTTTATGTTCTTTCACCCTCTCACCTAGCCTCCTACGAGTCTGTCCTATATAATGAGATGTTTCGACACCTTGCGTGTGGTAATTGTTATAAGCCCCCGTGCCCCGAAGCTCTCCTCACATCCATCACATTTTCTACGCGCAGCTGCCGGCTGACCCGAATACTCACAAAACACGACAAAGGGCGACAGCGCCGCCCTGTCCAAAGTCCCCTCCCTCTCCCGAACCGCTCCCAAAAGCAAAGAACCTTCATCAAACCGTGTCTCGAGCATTTGACACACGCGTTGCCGTGAAAACTCGGATTATCTTTGTCTCGCAAATGCCCCCTCGCCAGTCCTTTGGGACTAGCTGTAATTTTTCACCCAGAGCTCCGACCCCTACAGATGTCCCCTCCTCCGGCAACCTATCGTCAACGGAAGATAAATAATGACAACCTATTCAGATTATGTAGATCATCAAAGTGGGAACTGGGCCGATCAATAGGCATCCACAATGACAGAGAATATTCTAGAAGTAGCTAAGGAGCCAATAGCAACACAGGGCGATACACACGTGACCTAAGGTACTCACACACAAGGGGTGGTAACACAAGGCAGAGATGAGAAGGGCAGATGCTGTCTGAAATCCATGGTGAGAGGTTTTCTGAAATCCTCTCATGGTGAGAGGTTTTTATTTTCATCTAGTTAAGACACATTTCTTTAAACAACTTCGAGATCTGTGACTATTTTGAAACCGCAACTAGAAAGCTTCAGTTTTCGTTCCACCGGATGCCATCCTGTCTGGAACTGGTGCATTATTTAGAGCTATTATCAAGCTAAATAATTACGCCAACGCAATTTATTCCGTTCTGCGGACGAAAGACAGAATGTCCGAAAGGCATTCGTTACAGTGAGCAACCTGCCGCTAAGTGCATTCCGACGCGGGTAGAGGGACTTAAGACGGCTCGGGAGCGAGCTCCAACGAGAAAATCACACACCTTGATCATCTATACGAGAGCGAGGGCCTTCAATCCAATCATCGGCGCGTGCTACGGACCCAGGACAGATCCAGACGCGAGCCCGCGCCAGCTCTTCGTCTTGCGACGCCGCTCCACCTCTAGGCAGCATCGCCTGGCGTTCGCGATTTGAGTGCGAATCGAGGACGGCGGCGAGCAACTCTCTATAGCGAGGTAACTCAAAATTTGTCATGGTAGGCCCCTGTCCAGAATTAAGAGACTGTAACGCTATTGGACAAAGAAGGGGATTGCGTAGTTACACAGTCATTAAATGCCGATGTAATAAATGTGTCATTCTGACGGTCAACACTTAAACAATGAATTAGAAGTGTTTTGTTGTAAATTAATAAGTTAAGAGAATGCGCATCATCCAGAGTGACTCACTCCTTGAAATCTCTAAAGCCGGCGCAGGAGTCAGTTTGGTATCGCACTTGGCGCCCACATTTAAATAAATTTAACGCGAGCAACCTGACATCCTCCACTATATCGAAAACTCACGTGTCTCGATACATTGTGGGAACCCCGCTAGGTTCGGTACGCACAAGCCACCAGCGTATTCGGGTTCGTCACAATAGGTTACATTGTGTTACATAACATTTAATTGAATATACAGTGCTGACTTTTTTCTTTGGAACCAATACACTTAACTAATAAGCTAATAACAACCATTAGGTCAAG